TAGTCATGCTATGATCGGTTATTTAGTTACTAGTCAAACTAAACTGGATGGTCATTCTCTTGTATGTCGGTTACTTTTTCCACCTTTCCATTTTAAGGCGCAATCGCTTTAATTCAAGTTGCAGGTGAAGGTCCATGGAACTCCACGTCTGGCCGGCAGATTTCGGTCTGCCCTCAATTGATGTCAGCTGCCTGCAATTTTTGGTGAGCAATAATATCAGGTCTATTTGATCTGTGATTACAACACCACCTCTTCTAGGCTTGTGCCAAAATGTGCGCCAGTCCTGTTTCAGTAGTATATTCTTCGAGCCCATGGAACTCACCAACTGGTAAGTACAGCATAGTGCAATATTCAAGTCAAGATATGTTAGATGCTTTTTCTATGAAAGAGATGGTTCGGAAGATCATCGGGCACGAACTTAGATTTGCCATTTTGCTCAGAATATGAATTAGTATACCTTCTCTCTCACACGGAGTGAGACCAACCTGAGCAGGTTATGCGACCGTGCGACCTCCTCGCCTAGCTTTGTCAGCTCCTCAAAGTGCTCTCAGATCATTCCTCCACGTTTGAAGCAATTGAAGCACGGACTTCCCCATGCTGAGTGAGGAAAAATGATCAGAGAACACATTCGCGAGAGGTGCACAGCCCAAGCGAGGCGGTCGCGCGAGATCCGAGCCGCTCGTGTCGGTCTCACTCTAAATGAGACAGAGCGTGAAGTTAGCAAATCCAGTTTCGATTATATGTGCTCATAATAATAGGAAATGAAGTACCGGCTTGTACCAAGCCGACATTGAATGATGATTTGGCGTTGCTATCTCTCTTTCAAGTTTCTTTTGCTATAGAATCGTTGCTAAGATTCTAAAATTCTTGCCTGTACATTTTTTATTTTTTTAAGGAGAGTTTCCAGTCATGGTTGACACTTCAACGCAGTCAAAACCGATCATTGATTTCGACAAGTTGGTATTACTTTCTTGGTGAAATTTTCTCGTTACATTATTCTTGCATTTTTGAACATTCTTCCATCCTTCTTCTTTCTTTTTAGTTTATTCACATATCACATCTATTCACATTATCATATTTCTAGACGTGTCGTAAGTGCTTTCCTATTAAGGTTTGTAGAGGTATTGCGAAAAAGTGGGCAGGAGGTGGTGATTGATGCTGAATTGACAGCTTCCGAAAAATCTCAGATCGACGCCTTCAGCTGCTATTTACAACAGTATCTCAATCCTGCTGTGGTTCGTTGTTGAGGTGTTTTCCAGACATTTTAGAATTGTTAAGATTTTAGTTGCATACATTTTGGTTGGATGACTTGAACTACAGCACTGTCACACATCACTGGTACTCTTCTCGCCTATCGTTTCCATACAACATGTACTATTTGGAAAAACACAGAAAGCGCATACAACGGTTCCTCTCCGATAAAACGGTCACGGTAATAATGAAGGATGGATTAGAGGTAACATTTGCGCGTTTGGTTTTCCCAGCGCAGTTCTCTTCTCACTCTATCTGGATTTATGAGATGATACATATATTGGATTAGTTAAAGGCATTGTCCAGGTCAACTTGGGGGTAATGGGA